GGGGCCGTATCCTGCTGGCTGCTCCCATGGTGCTGGGAGCCCCCCCCCACCCCATACTGGGACTGTGTACGAGGTAATGGCTGATGCCTGCTGCCAGACCCCCTGCACAGTCCCCAGCCAACCCTGCCAGCCCTCCCTTGCACGGAGGGTGGGGGACCACCAGCATCACCCCCAGCTCTTCATGGCCCGCAGTGGGTGCTGGGTGCGTCCTGCTGAACAAGGAGGGGATACGGGAAGGGAAATGTGGGCTTTGGTGTGTTAGCTCCGTACCCCGTGCTGTGGGAGAGGGAGCCGGAGGGTGCCTCTCCAATGGGAGGGTTGGCAGGGCTTACTCTGGGTGGGGGGAGAGGGTGTTAGCCCCCTCCGTGGGTCCCAGGTGGTCTCTGCACCTGGGAGATGTAGGGTTGGCATGGATGCAGAGGCGGGCACTGCCCTGGGGTGCCCGTGTCCTGTGGTCCTCACAGTGCCCATGCTGTCACCATGGGCCATGCGCATGTCCCCTGGCCTGTCCCCGGAGGGTGACAGAGATCAGGGACACCTGGGTGCTCCAGATGCTGCCTGGAATATAAAGTATCCGGGCTGGAAAGAGAGTAATCTGGGGGACTGTATGGTGATGCTGGGAGCCCGGGGGGTGTCCAAGCACAACCGGTGAGGTGGTGGGCATGTGTCTGTCAGAGGGGATAAAGGCATCTGTAGGGGGTGGATGTGTGTGTCTGTCTGTCCGTGTCTGTACAGGCACAGTGGGCTGTGGTGTGACTCCCAGAGGCTGCAGCCTCCTAAAGCACCTCCAGCCCTGCCAGAGGGAAGCTACCAAGCGCAGCCAGAGGGGCTCTGGGGAGGGGCAAGCAGCCCCTGCAAAGGGGGGGCCCCCCAGCGCTGTCCCCACACGGGTGCCACTGTTGAGAGAGGGGCAGGAGGCGGGGGCGCGGGGCAGAGGGGGAGGTGGTGGAGGCATTTAGGGCACAGGATGGGCTCCACAGCCCACACCACGCACCCTCCTGGGGCTCCCGTGGGCCCGGGGCCAGGGCGCTGGTAACCCCCCCAACAGCTCTGCAGAGAGCGGGGTCCTGCCCCTGCCCCCGGAGCAGCAGCACTCCGAAAAGCCATTAAGCTAAATTAAGCTAATGCAAGTGAGAGTGGTAGGGTGGTACGGGCTCCCTCTGCGGGCACCTGGCAGCGTGCGGGGCTAAGCCGGGCTGGGCAGCCTCTCCTTGGCTTTTTTTTGGGGGGCACCTACGGGTCGGTCTGCCCTCGCCAAGATGAGGATCCCCGCAACCTGCTGTACCGATGCCCGCAGGCCCAGATATTTCGGGGTGACCCCCCCCATCACTGTCACAGCCCAGGCCATGGGGACCTGGTTGGACCCAGAGCTCCTGGACGATGGGGACAAACCACCTCCTTGCCCACAGATAACCCCCCTCCACGGGGAAGGTTTGGTCTTGGAGTCCCGCAGGATCCCCACCTTGCTGTCATCTCCTGCCCGCACCGCTCAATGGCGCGGTTCCCCACAAACAGGAGATGCTTTCGGGGTGCTCCGCTCCCACTCCCTGGGTCCTGACCGCTCCCCCCCGACCCCCCCACCCTTGCCGGGACCCCGGCACCCAGCGTGCCAGCCACGGCAGAAGGCCACGGAGCGAGGGACAGACGGGAGAGGCGGGGCCGGGGACAGCGTCCCCCCTTGTTAACAGCGCCGGACCCTGTAGCCTTTTCAAGGCTCTGAATAGGGGGTGGTACCTCTCCTCCCCTGAATTTGGGGCCGGGGGGGGTGCTGGCACTGGGTTAACACGCTCAGACAGGCCTGGAGCGGTGGGGGGGACACACGCTACCCCAGATGGGAGCATGTGGGGGGTTTCTCTTGCCGCCACATGCCCTTCCTCTCCCTCCCGCCCACCATTCACATGGTAATGAGGACAAATTGATGGAGAGACATCCATTGTGGTACCCTCCAGCCCGGCCCTTCTGCCGGCCACCCACCAGCATCCCCATCCATCACCACCCAGCCGGGATCCTGGCAGGAACCCCCCGCCCGGGACTGGCACACTGGGAGATGGGGCTGCTTCAGGAGCCCCCAGGCTGCCCTGGCTCTCCTGGGGCTGAGTGACAAGAGAAGGGGGCACATCCAGGGAAGAAAGAGCCCCCCCATAAATCCTGTCTGTCAACTGGACATCACTTTGTCCTCACCATCCTCGCCATGGGTTTTTACAGAGCTAGTGGGGAGTTAATGGGGCTTCAGAAAGATCCCAGAATCTTATTTATGGGTGTGTCCCCCTTCCTCTTGCTGCCCTGGGGACAGCCCAGAGCCAGCACCCCCCCACACTTTCTCTGCTTCCACCCCAAAGCAGCCCCCCAATACCCTGCAGCATCCTCCTAATGAGGCAAAGAGCTGTTCCCCCATATTCACTGATACCCTAAAAACCTGGGCCTGGAGATGGGCTGCCCACAGCACCATGGGGCACCCCAAAGGGCACATCCTCTCCCCAGGCATCCCCTGTCTCCAGCTCCTGCCACCGTGCCTGCAATGGCAGCCTGATTGAAATTTCACTCCATAAAGTGCCTTTCGAAAGCCTGACCCCACGGCCCCCCCAGGGACCAATTTGTCCTTCTCTGTAATAAGAACCTAATTAAATTAGCTCAGCCGCCTCACAGAGCCCTTAAATTAGCCATGGTGATGAGGGCCCTCGCTGACAGCCTGCTGCTGAATTGCTCTGCACTTGCCATGCTGTGGGGTCCAGGGAAAGCCTTGGGGGGACCCTGCTCCCAGCCCCCCAGGGAGACCAGGGCAGGGCAGCTTGGAGATGGGGCAAGGGGTGCACAGAGGTGCACGTGGGTGGGACAGGTATGGGGAGGCCGTGTGGGGTGCCAGCTGGTGGTCTTCCCTTCTGCTGGTATGGGGATGGGGTGGAGGGGGGGACAGGGCTGGCAAGGGGTGAGGGGACAGAGCCAGCAGTGACCAGCGCTAGTGACATTGGAAACCTCGTGTACAGGGTAGGGGATCCACCTTCTCCAGGAGCACTGGGTTAGTGGGCGTTGGGGTGATGGAGATGGTGGGGAAGGGTGTCCCAGCATGGCTGGGCACTGGGGCCAGACTGGGATGGAGAGGTGTCCCCAGCAGTCCCACAGTGGCTGTCCCTCCTACATCCTGCCCCGCTTGCCCTAGTTTCCAGGTAGCCCCAATGACAGCTTAGTCCCATGTAGGCTGGGTCACTCCCACAGCGACCGGCTGCCCACTTCCCCTGAGTATGGGGGACTGGGGAGGGAGAGCTCACCCTTTCTAGTGGGAGGTACTAGGGTGGCCAAATCTTGCTCCTAGAGAAGCGCAAGATGCCCTCTAGCTCTGCCTGCCCTGTTTATGATGGGCAGTAAGCATCCCCAATCCCTGCCTGCCCTCCCCACATCAGAGCTCGGAGCATCCGCCTGGGAGACGATGGATTTATTGGGCCGTGTCCCCAACCAGGAAAGGTACATCCAGTGAAGAGACAAAAATGCACCTGTTGTCAGCCGTGCTCGCGCTCTCTCATTTCTCCCTGGACAACAATCACCATAAAAACTGTGCTTTAAAATAATCTTTAAATAATTTCTGCTTTTTGTTTTAAAAAAAAAATCACCTCCTCCAACCAAACAGCTTTCCCCCTCCGCTCCTGTCTCACCCTGCACATGCCCACGCTGCCTCCCATCTATGGTACATACAAAGAGCAGATAAATAAATAAAGACGCGTGATGCTGCAGAGGGGACACAGATCACAGCCTCCCCCCCAGCCCTTCACCTCTGCTAACGTGGAGCCAGGGAAGGCTGAGGCTCTAGCTAGGATTTGAGGGGGAGACCATGACTGCAGCTCTGATGGGACTCCCCCAGGTCCTGGGAGCGGGTGAGCAGCAATGAGTTACCCTGAGGGTTTGGGGTGCTGGGTGGGGCAGGGAGGTCAGGCCAGGCAGGGTCTGGAGCTTGAGGAGCTTTTTAGCTTTGGGGTGGGAAAGGCATTGCTTTGGGCTGAGCCAGCTCAGGGAGGGATGCCAGGAAGGCAAGGGAGGGAGCACTTTCTCCCCGGCCACTTTCTTTCCCCCAGCTCCGGCAGGCTGGGGCTGCAGCCTTGCCTCTCCCCACCCCTGCTCCCAGCAATGCGTGCCCATGCCTGGCTGGCACTCCCACCCTCCTGCCTGCATGTTTGCCTCTGCAGTCCCCTCTTGCCAGCCAGAGCCCCCCATGCTGTCACAGTGTCCTCACAGGCATGCCTGGCCGGGTGGCTACAGTGATGACTTGGGGCAGAGCTCGGGGTCCCGCTCCCCAGTCTCTCGCTCCAGCAGCACTCATGTCACCAAGTCGGGGGTTTTGTGCCAGAGCCGTGCCAACCCCTCCAGCTCTGCCCGTGCTTGGGCACCCCAGGCATACAGGGGTTTGGTTTGTACCCCCTCCTCTGCACCCACAGTCAGGGCTAAGGACAAGGCACAGTCCCAGTACCTGGGTTGCCCTCCTCCCAGCTGCCATGCCCCAGGGGTGGGAATGGCATTGCCTGCCCTCCCGCCCGGGGTTCCCAGCAAAGGGCCCTGGGCCCACCCTCCCAAAGCCTCCCCACCGGGTGCAGGCAGGCTGGGAGCCCTGGGGGAGCAGCCTGCAGCCAGGGGGTCTCTCCTCGTCCCGCTCCCCCTCGTTTATCAGACCTCCGTTGTTAGCTAATTCTGCACACGCACACGCACATCACACGCACACACAAAAATAGCAGCATGTGGATCCAGCCGGGGGCACCCCCATGGCCAGGGGGCAACCCTTCATGCCTCCCCCCTTGCCCCCAGGAACAGGGGGTGAGGAGGGGGCGGTGGGCATGGAGGAGGCACACCGGGGAGCCCCGGTGCCCCCCAACTAGGAGGTGGCTGTGCCCCAAGCAGGCAGGGCTGGAGGCAGCTCCCGATGGGCACCCAGCTTTGGGAGGGGGTGCTGGCCCCCGGTGAGCCGCCCTGCAGCCACCACCTCCACCAGCAGCGCCGGCCACAGCCGGGGCGCACCCTCAGCTCTCCGCCCAGGGTACCCCCAGTGGGTGGAAGCTGTCGGGGGGCAAGAGCAGCCTGCCCAGGCGGTAGAGCAGCCCCGAGTACCAGTGCACACCGTCCCCCTGCGCCCCTGGCCACCCCACCAGGCTGTGGTAGAGCCGGAGCGGCCAGAAGGCCAGCTGCGCCAGATGTTGCTCCTGCACCAGGGCAAAGCACGAGGCCACCACACCGTCCACCACCAGCGTCCCGTGGCGCGTCAGTGGGGCGTAGGCTCCCACGTCCCTCCGGTCCCGCACCCCCACCACCTCGGCGGGCTGCAAGCCACCACCCCCCACTGCCACCAGCACAAAATGTCCGGGGCGCACGTGGCTGGCAAAGGTGGGGCGGAAGCGAGCGGTGGGCGCCGAGGCATTCTCGGCCACGAAGAGCAGGTGGGTGGGCGTCAGGGCCAGGCGCCGGGGCGGCTCCCGCGTCTCGATGACATGGAAGGAGGTGAGTGCGCGGGGCTCCTTGTCCAGGAAAGCCAAGAAGTCGCTGTAGGTGGGCCTGCCCGTCCCATCCATTGCCAGCACCCGCTGGCCAGGGCGCAGTGCCCACAGCGGTGTCTGGGCACCGTCCTCCAGCGTCGCCAGCGCCCGCCCAGGGAAGCAGCCCCCTGTCTTCGCAGCAGCCGAGTGTTCTGCATGGGGAGAGAGAGGACAGGAGGGTTACCCATCCATCAGACACCCAGCATCACCCTTCCACGACACACAGAGACCCTCCCAGGCTCTGGGGGACCCAGCCTGGCTTTGCCCACCTGGGGATAACCTTGCTCTGGCATCAACAATGTGCACGTGCTCCCTACACACCCCCAGCCACCAATCCAGCCTCCCTGAGTGCCTGCTCCCCCAGCCACTGTGTCACTAGGGGTGGCACCTGGGGGCTTGAGCCACACATGGCAGCACCTGCTCCCCACTGTGGTGCAAGGGCGCTGGGACTGCCCTGCAGAGCCAGGTCCCGAAACCCACCTGGCAAGGGGAGTGGGGCACAGCGACAGCCCCAAATGCACATGACAGTGCCAGGGGGCACCCAAAGCTCGAAAGAGGGGAGACAGAGCCCTGAGCCGGTGGCAGGCTGAGGAGCAGTGCCTGGTCACACACTGCATGCCCACAGCATCCCCATCCCCTGCAGTGCTGGGCCTGGGTACTGCTGGGGGGGATGCTACAGGGAACGGCGCAAGGGGCAGTGCCCTCCCCCAGCACCGCAGCACCCCTCCATCCCGCACTGCAGCCCTGCTCCCTTCTCCCGCCTGCTCGCCCCTGCACCACTGGTGCCAGCTGACCCCCTCTCTGAGCTGCAGGGAGATGTCACAGCCTGTGGCCATGATCGGGCAAAAGCCACCAGCCTCCTGGGCAGGGCTTCGCTAGCAGTTGTCACAGGGTAAAGCACCCCAACTCTCTGAGGCTTGTCCCCTGGGATGGTGGCATAGCAGTCCTACCCCTCCCCAGATGAAAAGATGCAGCAAGTCACCAAGTGTCACCAGGGGCCCATCCCAGCACTTAGCAGGGGAACCCTGGCTTTCCAAGGAACAGTGGTCAGCTGCCACAGCAGCCCCGGTCCCCCAAGCCCCAGCAGCCTCCATCTTAGTGTCTATATGATGCCCTCCCACCATCTGTCAGGGGCATCTCATCTAGGGTCCTGCTCCTGACCTTGCATGGTCCCAGCCTCGAGCTCCCAGTCCCCATCAGGGCCCTCTCCCAGCTCCCTCATCTAATCCCTGAGTGCCCTCCCAGATGGCACTGCCCCCCTCATCACTCCCCAGCTTTGGGCAGAGCCAAATCCCAGCCCCCAGGCCCATGAAGAGAGGCATCCATCTCTGGGACAGAATCCTTTTATTGCTCAGATGAGGTGCAGTGACCGCCCCGTGCCTGCCCCGGAGGCCAGGTCCCAAATCCTGCATCCTGCATCCCCGGGCAGGCGGCAGAGCCGTGGGGAGGGGCTGGCAGGAGGGTGAGAGGGACACCTGGCAGAAGCGGGGGGCACAGGCACTGGGCATGGAGGGGTGTGTGAGTGCAGGGGGAGACCCGAGGAGACGCAATACATACAACAGGCCATGGGGCCATCCGTACAAAAATAAAAGCCATTTACTAAGAGGCGGGGGCAGCCCGGCTGCCCTCTTTACACAGCTCTGGGCAGGGGGGGGTCAGGATATGCACCCCACAGCCTCCACCATGCACCCTTGGGCTCCCCATGGCCTCAGGGATAAATATGGGGGACCCAGAGCCCCAAGGAGCCACTGTGGAGCAAGGGGGCTGCAGCCAGCCCCCAGAAGCCCTCCAGTGCCTCAGGGCCCCTGTCTGCTGCCTGGGTCACAGCATCCCTCTTCAGTTGGTCCAGGGGAGCATCCCAGGATTCAAGAGCCTCTGTCCTTCTCCAGGGGCACAGCCCCACTCCTCTGGCCAGCCCCAAGGCTCTGGGATCATGGTCCTCGCTTCGGAGCCTGGCCCCACTCCTCTGGCCAGCCCCACGGGGTGCCCTTGGGCACGAGAGCCCTGGTCCTTCGCCCACGCTTTGTCCCTCTTCTTCGGGGGCGCGTCGCTCCCTCTCTGCGGCTCGGTTGCCCCACCTCCATCGCCGGCCGGCGTTGCGCCCGTCCTGGCATCGGCACGGGGGAGCGGGTCAGCGTGGGGGGGCAGGCTGGCGTCTGGGGGCGTCAGGCCGCTGGCTGCGGGCTAGGGCAGTAGGACAGGCAAAGTGCGGTGGGAGCCGAGCCCGGGGACGAGAGACGCGGGGCAGCGCCGGCGCACCAGTCCCGGCACCACGGCACGGTGCGTGGCACAGGGGTGTGTGGGCACGTCTGTGGGCATGTGTGGGCAGCCACAGCCCTCTCCCTGTGCGTGTGTGTGCTGGTGCAAGTGCTGCGTGTGCAGGCACGGTTCCCCGGCACGGCAGCCTTGTGCCGGCACGGTGCCGGGGGGTGTGTGTGTGCAGCCGCCGAGGCTGCCTCTGTGTCCACGCAAGCCCACGCACAGGCAGAGCCCTTTCCAGCCTGTCGTGACATGGACACTCAGGCGTCCGGGAGCAGCAGCACGGCCCGTCTCCTGGCGTGCCGCCGCCGGGTGAGCGTGGCCCTGCGTGGCCGGTGCCGTGCGTGGGCCGCTGCTGCCCTCTGCCGCACGCAGCCAGCGCGGCCGCTCCAGCGGGAGCTGCGCGGGGAACCGGGCTGCAGCACCCCGGGCAGGGCAGCTTCTCCCCGGGCTGGGGGACCCCACGCAATGCCCTCCCGGCCGCGGGCAGGGTCTGAGAGCAGCCGTCCCCCCCGCCTCACTGCACCTCACGGGAGGAAGCGAACACCACCAGCAACTATAGCACCCCTGACTCCAGTCCAGCTGCCTCTGCCCCCAGCACCCCCCCAGCTTTGATCCCCTCCGCAGAAGGCCCTGGGCAGCAGACAGCTGATCCAAGGGCACCCTGGCCTGTCCCTGCCTGGGTGTCCCCATCGCCAGCCCTGGCCAGTCAAGGCTGGATGGGTGCTGCTGCAACAGCAGGAGCTCAAGGGCAGCCGGTGGTGGAGGTGGGCAAGGCTGGATGGGGCTGAGTGTGGGCAGCTGGGCACTGAAGGACTGCAAGGGCTGAGGCAGGGAAGACAAATGCAATGGGCAGACTGGGGGGACAGGCTGGGGGAGAAGGGGATGTGGGGTGGGAAAAGGAGCGGCATAGAGAAGGTGGGTCAGGATGCAGGTCGTGGGAGCTAGATGGAGAATTTGCCCTATGGCACTGCTGGCCACAGGTGTGTAACTCACTCCCCACCTGACTGTCTGCCCCAGATAGGGAAATCAAGCTGCGAGAGCCAGCACCCCCCCGGGAGCACCCCACCCAGCCAGCCAGGCTCCCCAGGCATACCGCAACAGGGGGGCTGGCCCCAGCCCTGCTCACTGCTCCCCCCGGCCTTACCTGACTTGACGGAGCAGTGGATGTGCGCCTTGGACTCGTAGTAGACCCAGTCAAAGCCAGCCTCCACGGCCAAGCGAGCCAGCATGCCGTACTTGTTGCGGTCCCGGTCCGAGGTCGTGATGTCCACGGCTCGGCCCTCGTAATGAAGCGACTCCTCCGAATGGTGCCCGTCCTCGTCCCAGCCCTCCGTCACCCGCAGCTTCACCCCTGGCCACTGATTCATGACGGAGATGGCCAGGGAGTTCAAGCGGTCCTTGCAGCGCTGCAGGGCAGAGGGGCAGAGTCAGTAAAAGCTTTTTGGAGGGGGGGAGGCATTAGCTGCCTGGTTGGCAGGTTGTACCCCAGCATGCTTCTGCGAAGCCTCTCTGGGTCCTCAGACCCTTTGAGGGCTGGTCCAGCAGAGGAAGATCTGAGAACATGAGGTGTCTTGTCCATCCCATGCCCTCCAGACTCCCCGCAGTGCCCAATACCCCACCGTTTGACACAGCATCTCCCAAGGGCGTGCACCCCAACAGGGTACCCATCTCCTCCTCCATCTCTCCCCCAGTACCTGGCCCATTGGAGAGCCCATTGGGCAGCACAGCCTGGGGTGAAACACCCTCTCTGCTCACAGGACACCTGCCCTGTGCTAGCACTGACCCAGGGGCTCCCAGCTGACAGGAGGAGGATGCAGGAGCTGAGACCCTGCTGCCTCCTGGCTGGGAGGATACCCCAGGGTCCCCAGCACTCTGCCCAGGCACAAATGAAACAACCTGCCCAGTCCTCAGCACAGCTCTGCGCAAGTCCTGAGGCACAATGGCACAGCACCGGGCAGCCTCATAGCTTCATCCAGCCTCTGCTCACATAGGAAATGCCAAACCTGCCCAAGAGCTGGAGCAGAAAGGATGTGGGGTGAAGTCCCCTCCGCATCTCCCCACCACAAGGGCTGAGGAACAGCAGCAGATCCCAAAAGCCCCAGACCTGGTGGCCACAGAGGTCACACGAGCAAGGCAACTGCCCTGCCTCATCGGCCCCTGCTGCGGTCCTCCCCAGCAAGCAGAGGGATGCCAGCCCCAAACACCTGTGCTGCAGCCCTCCCAGCCTCACTCCGCGCTGCCTGCTTCCCCCAGCCACAGCTGCATCTCAGGGACGGACAAAGCACATGCGTTCTTGGCTTGCAAAAGTACAGCCCGCACTTCTGGTCCCTTCCCCTGCTGCAAAAGGAATGGAGGAGAGCTAGAAAAGGTGTCAGAAAAGCAATATGGGAACTTCTACACAAAACCAGGTAAAGGGACTAGGACTGTACAGCCTGGAAAGGAGATGCTGGGCGGTCCCAGAGAACACTATAAAATCAGGGCAAAGGACAGAGCATTCATGGTCATGCATGAGGCCAGTCCTGGGAAGTATTAAGTGAAACGACTGGGCAGCAGCCTAAAAAACAGCCACCACGGGGGACGTTTTCACGTGATGCCCAGCTCAGCGCTGGAACTGCCCACCACGGGATGTCGTGGGTCGTGAGACACAGTCATGGCGAGCATGAGCCAGGGCTATAAAACCTGATGCTGGCTACACCCCCGGACCCAGAAATGCCCCAGCACTGCTTCCTCAGGGAGCTGCCCCCTCAAAAACGTCAGCCCTCACCCTAGTTTCAAGCACCTGCTCCCGTCCCGGGGAGGTGGGCTCTGCTGCTCTTGGGGAAACCCGCTTGCACTTGGCAGTGTCCGGGCCTCAGGAAGGGCAGTGCCAGGCAGGCCTTTGCCCTGCATGGGGTGGGGGACCAACTCTGCCCTCGTCCCACGGCTCCCTGGGTGTGGGGAGATAAGCCAGGAAGGTGTTGGACAAACAGTTGCTAGGTAAGGGGAGGAGGAGGGAGGGGCGCGACTTTTGTCCCCGTCCAACACCACCGTGGTGCCACTTGGCACATGGCACAAGCAGCTCCCAAGGTCCCCAGCCACATGGGGACCCCGCAGAGAAGGGCAGTAAGGGGGCTCAGGGCTGGAGGCAGGCAGGGAGTCCTCGATGCCTCCCTGCATCCTCCAGCCATCACTCCAGGCATCCCCTTGCCGCTCCCATGCCAGCACCCTGTTCTGGGCACCCCTCCTGCCCTCACTGCCAGCCCTTCTGTCCTCCAGGTGCACCCTGCCCGCACACAAACACCGAGACCCTCCAACCCGTGTCCCCAGTCAGGGACACTGCCTGCCACCAGCCCCTGGAGCGAGGCCACCCTTTCCTAGCAAGACCCACCTGGGCTGCCTTGTCCCCACCATGTGCGTCTCTCCCAGCGCAGCCCCAGCCCAAGGGTCTCCCACCTTCCCCTTCCCGGTACGGGGCAGTGCCCAGCTGCCTGCCCGGCTGGGCGAACAGGGGCAGGCAGGTCCCCGGAGCACCCTGTCCCCGGGCTGCCGAGACTGTGCGGCTCTGCCTGTGCCTTTGGTGGCCAGCAGGTGTCAGAGCACGGGCAGGGAGCGGGCAGGGACCGGCAGGGAGCAGGTACCGATGGACAGGGGGAGCAGGCAGGGACAGGCAGGGAGGGTCGGGGAGGGAGTAGGGGTGGGGAGCAGACACGGGCGGGCAGGGCAGCAGTGGACAAGGAGCAGGCATGGATGGGCAGGGAACAGGCAACTGAGAAGGGACCAGGCAGGGATGAGCCATAAACAGGGAGCAGGCAGTGAAAGGCAAGGGGAAGCAGGTGGGGATGAACAGGGAGCAGGCACAGGAGGCAGGGAGAAGACAACAACGGGCAGCGATGGCCAGGGACGGGCAAGGAGCAGGCGGCAATGGGCAGGGAGCAGGCATGGGCAGCAGGGAGCAGGCACAGATGGGCAGGGAGCAGGTAGGGATGGGCACTGCCACAGATGGGCACAGGTAGGCAGGGACCAAGAAGCCCATGGGCATGGGCTGTCTGCAGGCTCTGTGCTTGCCGGGGGCTGAAGGGAGAGCTCACGTCCTCCCCACGCACAGCCCAGAGGGGCTACAGCATCCCCGGGGACCAGGGTGACCATGCCTGCCTGCGTGGCACGGTCCCCGTCCTGCCTGAGGGTGAACACAAGGTTTCGCAAGGTGGCAGCAAAGACGTGGAAATGCCACCTTGGCCCACGGGCCCTGTGGGGCCCAGGCTGGAGTGGGATGTCCAAGCTCAGCCATGTGGCACTGAGCCCTGGCCACAGCTCACCAGCCCCAGTGCCGTTCTGGTGCCCAGCCAGGAGGCTGAAACCCATGCAACAGGCATATAGCATAGTTTGGGAGAAAGGCGGGTGGTGACAGTGTGTGAGGTGGGGCACAGCTTGTCCCTGTAGTGGCACAGGTGACTGGGCACCCCCAGGTCACATGCAGGACAGGGGCCCATGCCACCATGCTGAGCTGGGTGGCCCTGTGCTGTTGCATGCACATCATGGTGGAGACCCTGGGGATGTTGGGCTGGGCTGAGCAGAGATATTTTCCCCAATGACCAACACTGGTATCTCCCTTCTTGTGTCCAGACTGGGGACAGGACCATCCCCTATGGGGGAAGCCAAACCCCTTTCGGGAAGGCAGCAGGTCTGGAAGGAAGGGCACAGCTCCAAGTGGGAGCACTGTCAGCAGGGACCCCAGGGCCATCTCAGGGTAGGTACACAGGACACTCAGGTGTGACCACAGTCTCAGCAGAGGGGTTGTGGATGGAGCGTGCTTGGCCACAGCTACCCCCATGTCCAGAGCTTGGCCAGGAGAAGAGGGGTTCCACTAGCATCTCCCCCTCAGGCGAGGTTTCTCCCAAAGGAAGCCAAGAGCCCTATCCCAAGGTCTCCATGAGAAATTCCTCACCACTGCAAGGATGGTCTCCATGCCAGTTGGGCCAACAGTGGCTGCAAGGGGTAATGGCTGGTGTAGGGAGAGGCTTGGGGTTGGGACTCCATGGGGGCAGGGGGCCCGGGACATTCCTGGGCCAGGCTGCCGGGGAGAGGTGAGGCGGGCTCTGCCTCCAGCCTTATCTCAGCACCTCCGAGTGGGACCAGCAAGAGCAAACACACTGGAATTCTTGAGGAAGATGAAACGATAAAGGGAAGGCGGGCAGAGAGCAGCACTACCCACCCCCCAAAGCAGGCGGCATCTTCCGGCTGCCTGGGACACCCAGACCCTTGGACTTGGGGAAAGAAAACAGGTTTGAAGTGAGTCAACAGCAGTAAAAGCCAGTGGACTGGGGGAAGGGACAAGGAGTTGGGTCAATGGCCTTTCCCAACACACAGCAACACAGGGCATGGTGCCAGAGCCAGAGCTCCCACGTCTGGGGGCATCTCCCACAGTTAGGGGCCACAGGACAAGCCCAGAGGGCTGTGGGATGGCAGCAAGCTACCAGAAGACATGCCACCTCCATAGCAATGGGGACAACTCCCTGCACAGCTGCCCGAGGCACCATGGTACCCATCTGTGCACAGATGTGTGGTGGCCAGGGACCCTGCTGGATAAGAGCCCTCATTTGGGCACCCCAAAAAGACCAGAGAGCTTCCAGGTACCCTGCCAATGAGGCAGCAGGACAGTGGGAAGTATGGGGCTGGCAGGTGGGACCCCTCTCTCAGGGGTGTTGCGGGGCACTGGCTGGGTTAGGCCAGTTAGGTTAGCACTCTCAAGAGCAAATGCAGCAGAAGCACTCTTCTGCCTCCAACTCGAGCAATATAATGTCACCCACTTCCCCAGTGCACAGACCAACGGAGCTCACTGCTTCCTCAAGCTGTATCCCTGAAGCTGTTCCCCAGGGGATACAGGCTCCAGCCCAGCCCCAGGGCTCCAGTCACCAGCAACCGCAACTCGTGCAACTCCCCAAGCTTGGTGCAGCTTCACATGGGGTCTTGGTCCCTCTGCTGCAGTCCCCAGCCTGAGAACCACCCTGGAGCGTGGCCCCTGCCCTCAGGGACCTGCCCCCAGGGCACACAGGGTTGCAGAGCTGTCAAGCCAGCACCCAAGCAGTTTCTCCTCCCACTGTTACCAACACCTCGGTCAGAAACCATGGCCAGAGCCCCGCTTAGTGCCCACCACCATGGCCACCCACGCTCACCCACCTACCAGCCCTAGAGCGGGGGGTGCAATGGTGAGCAGGGCAGCCCTGGCTGCCCCCTGCCTCCCCCAGGAGCTCACTCGGGCTGTAACCCAGTGCTGAGGCTGGTGGCCAGGTTTCTTAGCAAGGCCGTGCAGCTCCTTATCTGCATTCCTGAAACCCTCAGGCATTCTCCTGGCAATATTAAAACACAGAGTAACCTTCGTCCAGCATCACCCCCCGCTCCGCTGCCGTCCTCTATAGCCCCCACTCCTCCCTCCCGCTGGTCCAGGGCACTTGTAAACTGACTGCAACAGGGCATTTGCAACAACGGGTTGTCCCCGTCCCGGAGCACAGCAAGCTGAAGGCAGTCCCCATCGGGCACCCTTCACCATCCCACCTGAGATACATGGGAAGCAGGGGCACTGAGACACGGCACAGGGTTTTGGCAACAGAGCGGGGACAAGGTCAGCAAGGGTGCTTGTGGTGCCCAGCTCGCGGCTCTGCCTACTCCCCTGCCTGCCAGCACACCGGGCTCTGCTCTGTCCCTCGGCTCCAACAGGCAGGCTGCCTGCTCTGCCAGCCAGCAGGCAGAGCAAAGGGGCAAGGGCAGGATGGGTGCAGCGGGGCAGGGTGCTGCCCCGTCGGGGAACAGCGCGACACAGCGCTGCCGGCTCGGGGGTGGTTTGGCAGGATGCTGCCGGCTCGGGGGCTGTGTGGCATGGCTCGGGGGGCACCAGGGCAGGCTACTGCCAGCTTGGAGGGCAAGGTGCTGGCAGCTCGGAGGACAGCGGGACGTGGGTTGGGGGACAGCAGGGCAGGGTGCTGCCAGCTCGGGAGGCACAAGGGCACACCTCGGGGTGCAGCAGGCATGGGTGCCACAGGCTCCGAGGGGCAGCGGGGCAGTGTGCTGCCAGTCTCGGGGGACAGGGTGCTGCCGGCTGCGGGAGCAGGGTGCTGCCCCACCAAGGCGCAGCGTGCTGCCAGCTCCGGGTCCGATGCGCCCAGCCCAGCCGAAGGGGCAGAGCTTTGCAGCGCCCGGCGAAGGGAGATGCCCGCTCTGCACAACCGGCAGCCCGGCCCGGGCACCGGCATGCCCGGGTCAGGACGGGGGAAGCCGCAGCGCCGGGTTCCCCGCTGCTGCCCGCGCTGCCCCGGGAGAGCGGGGGCGCGGGGCGCTGCCGGGCGGCCCCGGTGCCCGCAGGTGCCCGGCGCGGGGGTAGAAGCGGGCGGCGGCGGGGCCGTACCTGGGTCATGAGCCGGTCGGCTCCGGTGTTCTCCTCGTCCTTGAAGATGATGTCGGGGTTGTAGTTGGGCGTGAGCTCCTTGAAGCGCTCCGAGTTACGCGCGATCTTGCCCTCGTAGCGGCCGCTGGCCCCCAGGGTCTTCTCGGGGACGTTGGGGCTGAACTGCTTGTAGGCGAGCGGGATGAGCTTGCGGGGCGGGCGGCGGCGGCTGCCCACCACCCTGCCCGGCCCGCAGCCGCGCACGGCCGGCGCCAGCAGCAGCGC